TTTTCAGATGTTTTCTGCTGCTGTTGCCTTTTTTCTCTGTTTTTATATTTCCTGATTCTTCTCAATAAAGCACGTTACACAATAAAACTATTTTAAAATATTGTTTTTAATTGATATAAAAAGAAAAAATGAAACAAAAATCTTTCCAACTACCACGACTTCCCTGAACAGCTCATTTAAATACCTAGCAGTAGGTGGATTTTCAACTGTGTGGGAGTTGGCCCCCCTAACTTCCGCATTGTTCAATGGTCAGCTGTTATTTGCTCTCCTACTTATGTCCTTTTATAAGTAGAACATTAAAACAATTTGTACTTTCAAAAGTCCCAAATTTTTGAGGTCCTGAGATTTAACAGTAAGGACTGACTGGTGATTTCCTCCTCATTAAGAAACATCCTGTTCTTTATTCATCCCATCTTGCTGTGGAAACACTTACTGTTTAAGCTCTAAGAAGATCTGTAAGAAAAAAAGATTCTCTGGAATCAATCGAGGAGATCTCGCCTCAGACTCTCCAACACCAGGGGACAGAAAAGACATACACAGACACACTTGCACATGCACATGCAAAAGCAAACATACATCATTGAAGTAGGAATAGAGAGAGACACCATTTTTTTTTTCTAAGATACAGTCTTAATGTTATCTGTGGGACAAAGGAATCTGAGTTCTCTAATCAAGGAGTTGGTGAAGAAGACAGTGCAGGTTAGATACAGAATGTTCTCTCCGTTGCACAAGCAATACATTTTGTTAGTATAAATCTTCAAAACCCAAAGACCAATTTGACAGCCCCTCCCTGTTTATATTTCTCTTCTTGTCAAAAACCAAGTCCATGCTTTACTTCACTAAGTCTCTAGCCAATAACCAGGACTCCTTGTTTAGCTTCTTTAAGTCATTTGATTCCGTGGGCACACCACAGCCCTGTATTAACCCAACTATCTGTTGAGTACATTTCTGCATGTAGATAGACAAGTGTTGCTATTGGCATTACACAAGAGCATACATTAATACCACTATAAATACATGGTGATCAATCTTGATTAATTCACCTACACTGTCCAGAGGCTATTTAATATATATTGATTTCAGAGAGGAAGGGAGAGGGAGGGAGAGATAGAAACATCATGATGAGCCCTAACCGGTTTGGCTCAGTGGATAGAGCATGGACCTGCGGACTCAAGGGTCCCAGGTTCGATTCCGGTCAAGGGCATGTGCCTTGGCAGCGGGCACATCACCAGTAGGGGGCGTGCAGGAGGCAGCTGATCGATGTTTCTCGCTCATCAATGTTTCTAACTATCCCTCTCCCTTCCTCTCTGTAAAAACTCAATAAAATACATTTTAAAAAATTTTTAAAAAAAGAAACATCATGATGAGAGAGAATCATTGATTGGCTGCCTCACATCAGGAATCAAGCCCGCAACCTGGGCATGTGCCCTGACCAGGAATTAAACTTGTGACCGCCTGGTTCATAGATTGACATTCAGCCACTGAGCAGCACTGGCCAGGCTGTCCAGAGGCTATTGTACTGAACTACATACAGTCAGAGCCTGAGTGAGAGGTTGTTAAGCTAAGAGCTATAGAGATGGTATAATCTCCAAAAGCTTTTTTTATTGATACCAGTGCCCTGGTTGGAATCTAAAATAAATTGTCATGCTTCAAAAGGATTCCTGAATGGGTTTTTTTTGTTGTTGTTGTTGTTTTTATTGCTTAAAGTATTACAAAGGGTATTACATATGTGTCCATTTTATCCCCCCGCCCTAGACAGTCCCCTAGCCTCCCCTATCCCCCAATGTCTTATGTCCACTGGTTATGCTTCTATGCATGCATACAAGTCTTTTAGTTGATCTCTTACCCCCCTACCTCCTGCCCCGCAACCCTCCCCGGCCTTCCTGCTGCAGTTTGACAATCTGTTTGAGGCAGCTCTGCCTCTGTATCTATTATTGTTCAAAAGTTTATAATGGTCTCTATTATCCATGAATGAGTGAGATCATGTGGTATTTTTCCTTCATTGACTGGCTTATTTCACTTAGCATAATGCTCTCCAGTTCCATCCATGACGTTGCAAATGGTAAGAGTTCCTTCCTTTTTAGAGCAGCATAGTATTCCATCGTGTAGATGTACCACAGTTTTCTAATCCATTCATTCAAAAGGATTCCTGGATGGGTCTTAAACATGAAAATGACTGAGAACAATTCAAAATAAAGTCTGTTGATCTTTCAAAAGAGTTACAATGCCATAGAAATCAGAGTCTGGGTAACAAAATAATTCATACAGTTTCCTAAACCTACACTAACAAGAAACATGTTGCTAAAGTAGCAGAGCTCCCAGAAGAATCCCCTTACCCTCGTCTCCTCCAAGGTATGGCCACTGAGAACAAGGGAAACCTTCACAGAGATCAGAACAGAAAGAATACAAAAGAAATCTCTACACTAGTGATTTTCAACTGCGGCAGGCACACTGGTGTACCACAAGAATTTTTTAAATATGCAACACCTGACTATTTAGTCAGGGGCACTGGCCTCTTGTCCTTTAGATTGTAATATATATCCTATCTAATAAAAGAGAAACATGGTAATTAGTGTATGATCGCTACCCTTCCCATTGGCTAATCAGGGCGATATGCAAATTAACTGCCAGCCAAGATGGTGGCCGGCAGCCAGGCAGCTTGAAACTAACATGAGGCTTGCTTGCTTCAGTGACGGAGGACTCCAACGTTCCCCGCCTGCCGCTGCAGACCTCTGAGCTGCAACTCTAAGCAACTATGTAACAAATATAGAAGCTAAACAAAACCCCAGAAACCTGCTTTAGTACAGCCAGGCTTCAGCCTGCAGGATCGCAACATTGGAAGCAAAGGCCAGAAACCTGCTTTCAGCAGCGGAGGCCTAAGAGCTGGAGCCTCAGAGCTAAAGCTGGCCCAGAATAAAAAAAGAAAAAGAAAAAAAGGAGCGGTTGGGAGCTTCAGTCACCCCCAGCCTGAAAACAGCCCTCAGCCGCTCACCCAGGCTGCCCAGGCACCCCAGTAGGGACCCCCACCCTGAAGGATGTGTTACCAGCTGCAAACAGCCATCATCCCCTCACCCAGACTGGCCAGGCACCCCAGTGGGGACCCCCACCCTGATCCAGGACACCGTTCAGGGCAAACAAGCCGGCACCCACCCGTGCACCAGGCCTCTACCCTATATAGTAAAAGGGTAATATGCCTCCCAGCACCGGGATCAGTGGAGCCACAAGGCCTCCCGGCACCGGGATCAGCGTGACAGGGGGCAGCGCCCAAAGCCCCTGATCGCCCTGTGGCTCTGTGTGTGACAGGGGGCGGGGCCACAACCTCCCTATCCACCCTGCTCTGTTCGTGACAGGGGAAGGCGCCCCAACCCCCTGATCAGCCCTGCTCTGTGCCTGATGGGGGGAGCTCCCCAACCCCCTGATCGCCCTGCGGCTCTGTGTGTGACAGGGTGTGGTGCCCCAACCCCCTGATAGGCCCTGCTCTGTGTGTGACAGGGTGCGGCGCCCCAACCCCCCACCCCCACGGGCCCTGCTCTGTGTGTGACAGGGTAGAGCCATAACCTCCCCATCGGCCCTGCCCTGAGTGTGAGAGTGGCGGCACCCCAACCCCTGATCGGCCCTGCTCTGTGGGTGATAGAGGGCGGCGCCCCAACCCCCTGATGGGCCCTGCTCTGTGCGTGACAGGGTACAAAGCCCCAACCCCCCTGATGGGCTCTGCTCTGTGAGTGACAGGGGGCAGTGCCCCAACCCCCTGATTGGCCCTGCTCTGTGCGTGACAGGGGGTGGCGCCGCAACCTCCCCATCGACCCTGCCTTGAGTATGACAGGGGACGGTGCCCCAACCCCCCAATCGGCCCCACCCTGAGCGTGACTGAGGGTGGCATCACAACCTCCCGATCGCCCTGCTCTGTGCATGACAGGGGGCAGCGCCCCAACTCCCCAATCGGCCCTGCTCTGAGCCTGACCAGGGGCTGCACCTAGGGATTGGGCCTGCCCTCTGCCACCTGGGAGCAGGCCTAAGCCAGCAGGTCGTTATCTCCCGAGGGGTCCCAGACTGCGAGAGGGCACAGGCCGGGCTGAGGGACCCCCTCTCACCCCCGAGTGCACACAAATTTTTGTGCACCAGGCCTCTAGTATATATATAAATCATGAGGACACATGTGTAATAACTTAATCAATAAAGGAAAAAAATGACAAGAGCCAACACAGCAATAGCCATCTGGTGTGAATGAATCAAAATTATAACTATTTTTTGTCAGATTAGCAAAAAATATAATGTACTTTTTGGTGTGCCATAGAATAGTAATTAATTTATGTGTGCCATGAGATGCAAAAGGTTGACAATTGCCCCTCCACAATGGCAGGAAAAACAAAAAACTTTGCTGTTCTTATCCATTAGGACAATGCTTTATGTTGTTATCTCTGACTTTTCTCCCTTTTTTGCTGTTTCTAAATGAAATTTTTATTGTAATCATACGATTATTCCTCCATCATTATATATTGCTTGTTTGTGAATAATTAAATTAATCTAGGATGTAGAAATAAAAATTGGCTTCCATTTGGATTGACTAAAGTGATAGACACAACACTCAGAGATCCTAGACTTAGCTAAATGCAATAAATGGAATAGGCTTCATTATTTACATTAACCCATTTACTCTTAGAAGTGAGTACACGTCTACCTTGGTCTATTGGGGCAGACAGTCAAGTAGAGAAAGCACAGATTCTTCTCCCCAGGAGTCCACAGCCCACAGAATGGCATCAGATGATGAAATAGAATATGCTGTGTCTGATTCCATGTAGGAGTAAAATGGGTGACCTCAAATTTCCGGTGCCTGCCCACATGATGCAAAATCCACAGATCAGAATTTTGGGGACACACTTCGTACCATACCATCTGTTCTGGTTCAGTGCATAAGAATCCAAGTCTCTGAGGAAGGTGACATGGTGTGCAACTCACTGGACCAAGAGCTTCGACTGCCACCTCCCTTGGGAAGCCTGGCCATGAGGCTCTTCCTGATCATTGCAATTCTGCTTTTCCAGCAGCCCACAGGTAATCTAGAGTTTTCCAGGGGCTCATACAAATCAACAATGGGATGGAGTATTTCTAAGAACCCAAGATAATTTTATAATTCATAGTAGAAGGAAGTAGGTCCCCCGGGGATGACTGAAGTCTACCCAGTGTCATGAGAGATTCCCTCTTTGAGGCCTTCTACCATGGTACTGTTCTTAAAAGGGAGTACTCAGAGCTGAAAAGAGGCCATGATTTCCTCTGGGAAGATCTCATTGTAGAAAGTAATGCACCCAGTATTTGGGGTTGCACTTATTTCTTTGAATACAGTTTTTACTCTGGCATCCAATCATATTGTCTTCCATCGTATATATGGTAGAGTGTGAATAGTGGGGAAAGAGTGGAAATAGGTATATATTAGTCTATTTTACTACAGAGTGTGAATACTCACTAACTTTGGAGTCAGGTTTAAGAAACAGGCCTTCACTACTGGTTTGTCAGCTTTGGATAAATGGGGAAGACTCTCTAAGTCTCAGTTTCCTCATGAGTGGAGATAATGACGCCGGACTCATGAGGGCCTTATTAAATGACGTAACATTTGTCAAACACCTCGCATAGGGCTTGGCACATACTAAGAACTTGAAATTTCTCTTTCAAAACCATATCTATTACATTTGCCTCTTATTATAGTCATGGTGATGGCATGTCCCTGGGCCCCTAAATTCCTAACAATCAAAGGAGTTCTAGAACCTGAGGTTGGAGGCATCTTTGTTCTCAGTCTTCCTCTGGGGCCTATTCTAGAAGATTGTACCAGCCAGAAACCAAAATTTGAACATCCTAACTCTTAGATCATAGAAAGTATTTAGGCTCACTAAAGGAAAGAATATATCCCAAGGTGAGCAAAGGTCTGGGGCTGAACATTGGAGGAATTCTTGCAACTAGAGGTAGAGGAAGAATGAGGAGTCATAGAGGCATAAAACAAGTCCAAGATTATTATAATGACTTAGAAGCCAAAGGAAGATATGCATTGGCAAAAATGGACAATGCTAAAAAAAAAAAGAAGAAGAAGAAGAAGAAGAAAGAAATGGACAATGCTAAGATTAACAGAGGAGGGAGGAAGATTATTAAGGGGAAAAAATACCTGACTGGTAAGAAAGTCATTTGTGACCATGACAGTGAGTATGAACCCAAGAACATAATTTGACCCAGACATAAATACATCATAAAGAATTATTATACTCTGGGTAATAAAGGTGGAGCAGTTATAAAAACAATGAGTGCTTGGGAACATTCAAACAGAGGAAGATTTGCTGTGGTTCCCTGATGGAGTATAGTGCCATGCCCTGAAATCAAGGAATCAACTTCTTTATTTTCCCATATAAGATCTGATGCTCTTGATGGAGTCCATCAGATGTTGACTGGAAGCCCCAAACCTTGGAGAAACTAAATATGAGTGATCAGATAGATATAAACACTGAGGTTTGCCTTCTTGGGGCATCCTCTGTGGAATGTTACGGGTATCTGCCTTGTGAATCTCCCATATACCTAATCCCTACAAACTTCCTCTACACTTTCCATCTCCAAAGTTGCCTTTCAATCTCAAACACTGACCTTGACCAATTGTTCTTTATGTGCACAGTAACTGAACAACTTAAGAAATGCTGGGATCAATATATACAAGGAAACTGCAGAAAAATATGCAAAGTAACTGAAACACGTGAAGTACTATGTGAAAATGGGAGATACTGTTGCCTCAATATCATGGAACTGGAAGCACGCAAAAGAATACCAAAGCCAACTCGTCCAAAGCCAATGACATATGCAATAACTTTACCTCAATATTATGATACATATGTAGGAAATTATATAAGCCCCAAGACAAATTCTACATAAATCAAGTACAATTCTCCATTCATTTATTTCTTAACCTATTCCAATAAACTAAGGTGAAGTAATCCACATCTTTTCCTGTCTGGTTCCTTAATTTTCAGAAGACCTTAATGTAGATTCTAATAAAGTTCATTGCCAGTTTTCTCACTTATTTCTTCTTTAACCAGCAATTGGACACTCAGTATACCAAGTAATAAGAACAACTCAGAACCTCCCCTTGAAAAGGGGATATAACCAGTGCACTGCAAAAAGAAAAATCTATGTGGAAAATTGAAACAAGAAGCTCAGGAAAGTAGACATGTAATTCTGGGGAGAGAATGGTGAAGCCAAGTGTTCAGGGGAAATTCACCAGTGAGTTAAAAGTAGTACCTTGTGAACTGTGTCAGATATCAACAGGTGACTGATAATAAAGAAAGTGATTTGAGTAAACAGACTGAAGTCAACAAACGGAAGGAAATTAGAAAAGACAGGACATTTCGGAAGGATATACATGCACTTTGGTTTAAGAATAGGCAACCAAAGTTGAACTATGGAAAGTCTAATTTCTTTAGTTCCTCTGTAAAATCAGTGAACTGGGAAAGGAGAGATGAATAGGTTGCCACTATGGTGGCGCTCACTATATACGGTGGAGGCAGACATAAATACATAATTCCAAGACAGAGGAGTTTCTTTGTTGTTGTTTATTTTTTTAACTTTATTGTTGACACTATTACAGATTCCCCATCCCTGCCCCTTTGCCCACCTACACCTAGATCCCGCTACCCCTTCCCTCTGGCCATCACCACACTGTTGCCTGTGTCTGTAGGTTATGCATATATGTTCTTTGGCTAATCCCTTCATCTTCTTTCATCCAGTCGCCCCCTCCCCACTCCTCTCTGACAGCTGTCAGTCTCCTCCATGTATCCAGGCCTCTGTTGTTGTTTTGTGTGTTACCACTAGTAACAGCATCCTTTTGGTGCTTGGGGCCCTTTGGAGTTCAGAGAAAACGTAAAGGACCTGGGAATCAGTCTGACTTGCAGTATTAGGCCCAAAATCCAAAACAATGACAACACCCAATGCTGTCAAGGATGTGGAGTAAAACTCTCGTTCATTGAAAGATGGGACATGCCACTTTGAAAGATAGTTTGGCAGTTTCTTACAAAACTAAACACACTTTTACTATACAATCCAGCAATTGCAGTCCTTGGTGTTTACCCAAGTGAGCTGAAAACTGTCCACGCAAAATCTGCACGTCAGTATTTATAGCAACTTTATTCAGAATTACCAAAACTTGGAAGAAACCAAGATGCCCTGCAGTAAGTGAATGGATAAATAAGCTGTGATACTTTCAGACAATGGAATATTTATTCAGTACTAAAGAGAAATGAGTTGTCAGGTCATGAAAAGACAGGAAGGAACCGTAAATGCATATCACTAAGTGAAAGGAGCCAATGTAAAAAGGTTACATTCTGTATGATTCCATCTATAGGACATTCTGGAAAGGGCAAAACTATGGAGGCAGTACAAAGATCAGGAGACCTTGCACATATTCAGTGCCACACACTCCCACCTCAGATCCCTAGCCTTCATCTCAGGATCTTCTGAGGTCACTTTTCATTCATTCACTGTTTTTCTGTGGCTAGATTCCCAACATCCCCTCCAGACTTGGAACCTAATGTGACTGCCTGCACTTTTAAATCACTCTGTATTGAACGCAAAAAAAAAAAAAAATGCATTAAAACTGGGAGCAGATATGAAAAGAGAGATTAAATGGTTATTACAATTGGCCAGGTGAGAGGTGGTTTGGACCAAAGTGAGGGAACAAAGTGGGTAGATCAGAGAATTATTTGGCAGCTATAATTTATAATAGTTGGTTATTCATTGGATGTGGTGGGAATGAGGGTGATGCCCAGGTTTCAGCCTACAGTGACATGAGAAACTGAGTGATGGTAATGTCACTTGGTGAAGTGTCCCAGTGCACGGATTCCTACACATTGAAAGGAAATTAACTAGAAGAAATATTTTAATATCACTATTCGCCCTTTCACTATAATAGAAATGTCAACCAAATTCACGATCCACAATGACAGATCAAAACGCACACATGCAATTGGTGCCAGTGAGAGCTTTATATATAGACTAGAGGCCCGGTGCACAAAAATTTGTGCACTCGGACGGGAAGGAAGGTCCCTCAGCCCGGCCTGTGCCCTCTCACAGTCTGGGACCCCTCAGGGGATGACCATCTGCTGGCTGAGGCCTGCTCCCCAGGGGATTGGGCCTAAGCTGGCAATCAGACATCTCTCTGGCAGCCCGGCACCCCTCAGGGGATGTCCACTTGTCAGCGGGGAGCAGACCTAAGCTGCAGTCAGACATCCTTAGCACTGCTGAGGAGGCAGGAGGGGCTCCCACCACCACTGCTGTACTGGCAGCCATCAGCCTGGCTTGTGGCTGAGCAGAGCTCCCCCATGTGGGAGCGCACTGACCACCAGAGGGCAGCTCCTGCATTGAGCGTCTGCCCCTTGGTGGTCAGTGTGTGTCATAGTGACCAGTCATTCCCAGTCCTTCTGCTGTTAGGGTCAGTTTGCATATTACCCTTTTACTATATCAGATAGAGGCCTGGTGCATGGGTGGAGGCCAGCTGATTTGCCCTGAAGGGTGTCCCAGATCAGGGTGGGGGTCCTGCTTGGGTGCCTGGCCAGCCTGGGTGAGGGGCTGATGACTGTTTTCAGGCTGCCCGCACCCCCTCAGGGTGGGGTTTATCACTGGGGTGCCTGGCCAGCCTGGATGAGGGGCTGATGGCTGTTTTCAGGCTTCCCGCACCCGCTTCAGGGTAGAGGTCCCCACTGGGGTGCCTGGCCAGCCTGGATGAGGGGCTGAGGGCTGTTTTCAGGCTGCCCGCACCCCCTTCAGGGTGGGTTTCCCCACTGGGGTGCCTGGCCAGCCTGGATGAGGGGCTGAGGGCTGTTTTCAGGCAGGCCAAGACTGCAACTGAAGCTCCCAGTCTCTCCTTTTTTTCTTTTTTCTTTTTATTATGGGATTTATTTACCTTCTGTAATTGAAACTTTGTTGCAGCTCCAGCTCCGAGGCCAGCTGGATGAAAGCAGGTATCTGGGGTTTGTTTAGCTTCTATAATTGTAACATTGTTGCTTAGAGTGCAACTCAGAGCCCAGCCACGGCAGGCAGGGAACCTTGGCTTCCTCCATCACTAGAGCAAGCAAGCCTCATGTTCACTTCAGCTGCCTGGCTGCCGGCCACCAACTTGGTAGGCAGTTAATTTGCATATCACCCTGATTAGCCAATGGGAAGCGTAGTGGAGGTATAGTTAATTACCATGTTTGTCTATTATTATATAGGATAAACTTGCTTAATTAGACCTGCTTTCTGATTTAGCTAAACTTTTTCCAGCCCAGTGAAGCACCCCAACTTCTCTTTCAGGTAATTGTCAGCAATACAGCAGTAAATATCAACATGAAGCAGATTATTATTATAGATCATGCAGGGAGAACAAAGGATAAAATATTTAACTATAGCAGTGTTTGACTACATTCTGCCCAGTGAGAAAACCTGAAGTCATTTTCAAGTTCCACCATTTCTTACTTCTTTTCAGTCAGATCAAGTTTCTAAACTTTCTAAATCTTCATTTCCCGGCTAATGAAAAGAAAATAGGATTCCACCGAGTCTCCTATCTACCTACTTCAGGACTTCTGTGAGGATCAAATGAGATGAGGCAAATGAAAATGCTTCACAGACATTTGGTTAAACTGTAAAATCTTTGCACCTGGCTATAAAGCAAGTCGTGTTCCTGAGAGGAAGAAACTCCAAGGAGACTAGTCACTAGGGAGAGGAAGCCGGGCATTGCTACATGACATCATTACCCTGTGCCCACAGAGACTGTTTCCAGGCTGAGCTGGGCTGTGGGCCACATTTTGCACCATGGGGTCTTGGAAGGATTGGCTGCAATTAAGTGGGGTATCACTCCAGGGTGGTGACAGGGCCTGTGTCCCACTTAGGGGAAGCTCAGTGTTGGTTTGTCAGCACCAGGTCTGTGGTGCCGTTTCTTTTTAGATGGCCTGTGTGCGTCATGGCAGTTCCTGCACTGAGTGTCTGCCCCCTGATGGTCAGTGTGCATCATAGCTACCGGTCAGATGGTCAGATGGACACTTAGGCTTTTATATATATAGATATATATCCTATATAATAAAAGCCTAATATGCTAAGTGTCCAGTCATCCAGTGATCAGTTGACTGTTCAACCAATCAAAGATTAATATGCTAATGATATGCTAAGGCCACTCAACTGCCCACTATGACGTGCGCTGACCACAAGGGGGAAGATAGTCAACCAATCGACCAGTCGCTATGACATGCACTGGCCCCAATTTTGCACCAACGGGGTCCCTCTGCCTGGTCTGCACCCTCTCGCAATCTGGGACCCCTCGGGGATGTCAAAGAGCCAGTTTCAACCCGATCCCACAGGCCACTTCCCTTGGAGGGCGCCAGATGCAGCTGGTGAGCGCTGCTATGGCAGCGCAAGCCTCTCCTGATCGGGGCTGATTGGGCGCGAGCCTGTGGCAGGCGAAGTGGGGCCGGGATGAGCGGGAATGGCAGGTAGGAGCTGCAGGTGGCCCTGGACTGCGGGTTTCAGCCCTATCCCTGCAGGCCACCCAGAGAGGCCCCACCCATGCACAAATTCGTGCACCGGGCCTCTAGTATCTATAATAATAAAAGGGTAATATACTAACTAGACAAAGCCGGGGCCAGAGGGAAGACCGGGTCCCAGGTGCCTGCCAGCGACCTGAGCAAAGCCCAGGTCCTGGGTGCCAGAGGGAAGCCAGTGCCAGCAGCCAGGGAAAGGAAGGCCTACTCTTGCATGAATTTTGTGCACTGGGCCTCTAGTATATATATCACCCACAACTGCCCTCCGTTGCCAGCCACCTTGTGGCTGTGCACGCCGCCATCTTTGAGGGCGTGGCAGTCAATTAGCATATTCCCTCCTTCTTGGCTGTGGGCTCTGCAATCTTTGTG